GATTTTTAAACCCTATATCTCAAAATTAAAACACTAAAAAATGTTTTCACCCCTAAATCCCCATAAACCCTCATAACTAAACCCTAATAGAACATAGTTAACCAAAACATAAATAATATAAAGAAAAAATACTTTTGAAAAAGTTGCATTTTTATAAAGATTTCAAAAGTGTGGCATTTTTGTAAAGTGACACTTGAAAAATAGTATTTTTTTAAATTCCTCTAGAATTTAGGGTATTTGGTTAGATTTTTAATTATAATTTTTTTTTGGTTATTTTAACCAATTTCCCATATTAGATTAAGCATCACTTAAAAGTTAAAATAAACATAAGTAGCGCATATTAGTTATCAGGTTATAACTATGTAAATTGAATATAGGTAAAAAATTTGGTTTCACGGATTTCGTCAATCCTGCTTTGTGCGGAGAAAAGAAGATTAGTGAGGTATGTTATTTTTATCTTACACCATTTTATTTATGTTATATTTCACGTCAGGACTTCCCAAATAAATGTTACATGGAGACGTAATTTTATTTGTTGTATTCTGCAATAGAAATAAGGAAATCCCATGTCCGAATGTTAAGCGACAGGAAAGAGACTAAAAAAATACTCTTATCCCTCGACCCGAAAGAATTTATGTCTAGGTCCAAAACTTTTTTATATATTAAAAAAAATATCATAAAATTTATGTCCAAACAAATAATAACGATCAGTTTTGTTTGTTGGATAATTATGGAAAAAAGGTGATTAAAGAAATGACAGGAGGAGGAGTTGACTACAGTTTCGAATGCGTTGGTTTAGCTTCTTTAACGAACGAGGGTTTTATGAGCACCCGCACGGTACGCTTATACCGAAGCTTACCCGAATATCAGTCGGTTCAAGATCATTCCAATGGTTAAACAAAATCAGTTTAACAATTCACCATGTCTTTTTTCTAACAATTATGAAACAGGGATCAGGAAAGACAATAGTGTTGGGGATAGATAAGCATAGAGCACCAATAAGTTTGGGTAGTTTTGATCTTATTTCAGGCAGACATATTTGCGGATGCTTGTTCGGTGGTCTCAAACCTAAACTGGATATTCCAATTCTCGTGGATCATTACCTTAAAAAGGTATTATCTGATGGGTGAATTTGGTTAATAACCAAACTATGATTATTAATTACAAATCTATCCAAAAGTGCATCATGTGAAGATATCATAGCCCCATGATGTTAGTAAATTGGTTAGTTATTGAGTTATATTTCCTTTTTTTTGGTTATTGGTGCCAAATTCTCATTATGTGATTACATATATATATTTTTTTTTTGCTAAAAGTGATTACATATTTTTGTTAACTAAAATTTTACTTGTGAAGGAAACAAATGTTTTACTTCTTCTTTCCAGCTTAAATGTTATGTTTCTCATGTGATTTAATTATTTCTTTTTACAATTGTAGGAGCTTAATTTGGATAGTTTTATTACACATGAACTCAAGTTTGAAGAAATCAACAAGGCTTTCGAGTTATTAGAGGAAGGGAAGTCTCTCCGCTGCATTATGTGGATGGATAAGTGATTAATTATTACGATAAGCGTAAGTTGTGTTGTATTTTGTTTTTGCTTATAAGAATGAAACATATATATCCTTTTAATTTTGAGTTGAGCTAGGGTAATAAGAAAACAAACTTTTGATTGATCTTTACTATCTTCGCCCATCTTTTAAGATGTTGTGGTAAATCAATTGACTAAGGGATCTCTCTTACAAATGTGTTTATGTTTCATCATGTCTTCAATAATATGTTTCGCTTTGGAGTTTTTTAGTCTCTGAGTTTAATTGTGACAACAACTTGTCGTGTAATTAACCGGATTGATATCCTCACATGCATGGTTTCTTCTTGAAGCTAAGATATTATGCACCAATTAAAAGACATTGTATCGCATGGTTTAAGATGGTCTTACAAAACCATGTGAATATCGCCATCTCAAATTAATGCATTATTTTTTCAACAGGAAAATGTAAACGAACATTTTATATACTCTACTACTTGGTGATTACCCTTGCCTATGCGCGGGTTTGTTTTATAGTTGTTTCATGGACGTAGTAAAGCGTCTACCTCACTTTACGGGATAAGTTAATGATTTTATATGAACGGTTATTCTAAATGTAAGCATAAAGAATTAATGATCAAAATCAAACGGTACCAAATACCATAAATTATAAAGGAAACACTTTTTGTTTTTCAAACAATTGCAAGAAGAATACCAAGATTAACATATGCACGAAGAAGAAACACACCAAGAACGATGATAGATTTATGTCAATAATATTTTTTTTTTAAAGTAGATGAAATCATACCTAAATTACCATGATTACGAATATGAAAGTTCGTGATTTTAGGTATGATATTACCATGACCGAT